TCATTTTATGATATTTTATGTATAAGTTTGGGAGATAAGGATACCCCTGTGAAACCATCACCCAAATCAAGGTCATTGACATATCCATCTCCTCCCAAAGTTTCCTCCTGCCCTCTTTGTTATTATTATTGTTGTTGTTATTTTATTGTCTGTGGTAAGAACAGTTAACATGAGATCTACCCTCTTAATAAATTTTAATTATACAATACAGTGTTGTTATCTATAGGCACCATGCTGTGTAGCAGATCACCAGAACTTATCTTGCATAACTGAAACTTTATACCCTTCGACCTTCACTTCCCCATTCCGCCCTCCCCATAGTCCCTGGCAATCACCATGCTACTCTCAGCTTCTATGAGTTTGACAATTTTAGATTCCATATCTAAGTGAGATCATACAGTATTTGTCTTTCTGTGTCTGACTTATTTCATTTAGCATAATGTCCTCCAGGTCTATCCATTTATGTAGTTGCAAATGACAGGATTTCCTTCTTTTTTAAGGCTGACTAATACTTCATCATATTTTTTTAATTCATTCATCCGTTGATGAACATTTAAGTTCCTTCCATGTATTGGCTATTGTGAATAATATAGCAATGAATGTGGGAGTGCAGATACTGTGTTAGGATCCTGATTTCAATTGCAGGACCATGTATTTATCTGTAATTATTATTTTTTTAAATGAAAGATCATTCATGCAGATAATTTAAGAAGCAGTGTAGGGGTATAGGCCAATAACTTATTTCTTTCAAAATATCCAATGTCTTAATTTTATAGCTATAAACTATAACATATTTAACTCAGATGAGAAAATAATTCTGATTCTCATGATGAACAACAAGAACAATTACAAAAAAAAGTGCTACTTACTGAGTACTAAGTATATTTTGGGTACCATGTATGGTTCTTCACCTATATTATGTTACTTAATTCTTAAAACACTCCCTAAAGTAGGTGATATAATTCCCATTTTTAGAGGTGAGAAAAATTAAAATGTAGGATGGTTTTGTTGCTTGCCTGAACCTTTACATAAGTGGTAGATCTGGAATTTCAGCATTTTTCTAAATCGTAGGATCTCTTCACTACCCTGATGAGAAAGAACTGTTTAATTGAATGAACACTTAACTTGAGATAAAATAAGTAGGAGAGACAAGGAACAAGGAATTTCAAAGTGTGAGCAAAATGTTATCTGTAGATATGGGGGTTGGAGACCATCAGGTATGTTTCAGGATGGTAATTAGAGCAATTCAACCAGGGTAGAAGGCTACTGAATGTAGAATATTAGAAAATAACATGGAAAAAAGGTGGAAATGTAGCCAGTATGTGGTGGAAATGTCAAAAATTGGACTTTATAGATGATAAAGAAATATTGAATATTTTTGAACCAAAAATTTCCACAGAGAAAGAGATTTTAGAAATTTATTTTTAATATAAGTTGGATTAAAGAGAAACTAAAAATAGGAGAAAAGGTGAGGAAGTTATTAAACGGTCTAGCCTTGAGTAACTAAAGTAAAGAATCAGGATGATGAAATTAGAAATAGAAAGAGAAGGAAAATTAAGAGAAAAATCAAAAAGAATTGAGAAACTTGATGAGGGAATATGTAGAAAGAGGGAAATGTAGATACAATTTCAGAGTTTTGAGCCAAGACTCCTGGAAAAAGATTTCTTGGCAGATCATGGGAGTTGGTAAAGGAGAGGAGTTTTATCAGCCAAGGTGACAAGATATATGTGTTACCTGGATTGAAATACAGCAAAAACTGTAGGTAAAGATGGCCAATAGACATTTGAAAACGTGAAAAAAAATCTGGACATGGAAAAGGCTATAAAGAAATTTTGTGATTACCTGTATATTATTAAAAGAACCACAAGAAAGGCTATTCATAGCACTACAAGTTTTATGTAATAAAATGAAGAGAACTTGGTGAATGAAACAATATTTCTGAAATTATATTACGGAGCATATTAAAACATGAAAGAACCTGGCTAAGTCAACTTTTGCTTCAACATTTTTATTAAGTTATAATTCACAAACCATAAAGTTTACCCCTTTAAAGTGTACAATTCAGCAATTTTTAGTGCATTCATCGTTATGCAACCATCACCACAATGAATTTTAGATTTCCAACCCCTACCCCAAATCCACATAGCCATTAGCAGCCAATCTCCATTCCAATCCACCTACTCTCCAACTCTAGGCAACTACGAATACACTTTTCTGTCTTTACTTTTCTTGCCTAGACTAAACATTTCATATAAATAGGAAAAAACGTATGACCTTTTGTGAGCAACTTTGTTCACTTAGCATAATGTCATAATGTTTTCAAGGTTCATACTTGCAGCGTTGGGGCATTTATCACAACTTCTTTCCTTTTAACACTGAGTCGTATTCCATTGTCGGAATGTAATTTACGTTTCCCTTTTTATGAACTTATTGGTATTATCTTTTTTGGGGCGAAATGTATATTCATATTCTTTGCCCATTATTTACTTGGGTTGCCTTTTTTATTGTTTATTGTTGAATTGTAATGTTTCTTTATATATGCTGGATACCAGTCCCTTATAACACGTATTTTGCATGTATTTTCTCTCCTTATGTGGGTTGTCTTTTCTCTTTCTCGATAGTCTCAACTGCACAACAAAAGTTTTGTATTTTGTTGTAGTCCAATATATCTTTCTTTTGCCGCTTGTGCTTTGGCTGTCATATCTGAAAAACATTGCCTGATCCAAAACCACAAAGATTAACCCATACTTTTTTTCTAAGAGTTTTTTATTTTTATTTATTTATTTTTTAATTTAATTTTAAGATTAGTTTCAAGTATAAATTACATTGATTAGACATTTATATGGTTTATAAAACGGTCCCCCTAATTGCTCCTTTTCCCCTCTGACTCTCCACCTAGCCATTACACTACTGCTAACTGCATTCTCTCTTTTACATTTAAGTCTATGATCTACATTTTAGATAATTTTTGTGTATGTTGTAAGGAAGAGGTCCAACTTGATTCTTTTGCATGTGGCTACCTGGCTGTTCCAGTATCACTTGTTGAAAAACTCTTCCTTCCGTCTTTGCATCATTGTCAAATTCAGTTGACCATAAATGTAAAGATTTTTTTCTGGACTCTCGGTTCTATTCCATTGATCTATATATCTATACTTATGCTAGTACTGCATTATCTTGACTGTAGCTGTTTAGTAAGTTTTAAAACTGGAAAATGTAGGTCCTCCAATATTGTTCTTCCTTTTAAAGTTGTTAATGGCTAATCTTGGTCTCTTGCCTTTTTATATAAATTTTATGATCAGATTGCCAATATCTTCAAAGAATTTAGCTGGAATTTATATTGAACCCTATAGATATTTCTGGGTTTATATTGAACCCTGTAGATATTTCTGGGGGAATATTACCATCCTAAAATACTAAAGCTTTCAATCCATGAACATGGAATGTTTTTCCGCTTATTTCAATCTTGAATTTCTTTCAACAAGGTTTTATAGGTTTCAGTGTACAAATATTGGATTTATGTTGTTTATCTCTAATAGTTTTATTATTTTTATTGTAAATAGAATTGTCTTAACTTTATTTTGATTTGTTAATTGTTAGTAGTTAGAGATATGATTGATTTTTTTATGTTAAACTTGTATCCTACAAATTTGCTGAACTCGGTTATTAGTACTAGCAGATATTTTATGTGGATTCTTTAGGATTTTCTATATACAAGATCATGTCTTTTATTAATAGAAATAGTTTCACTTCTTCCTTTTCAATCTGGATGCCTTTTATTTCTTTTTTATTGTCTAATCATCCTGGTTAAAACTTCCATTACAATGGTGAATAGAAGTGGTGAGAGCAGACATCTGTGTCTTCTTCTGATCTTCAAGGGAAAACTTTCCAATTTTTATTGTTGAGTATGATGTTAGCTGTGGGTTTCTTGTAGATTTCCTTTATCAAGTTGAGAAAGTTCCCTTCTCTTCTTAGTTTTCTAAGTGTTTTTAACAAGGAATGTTGCTGGATTTTGTCGGATGTTTTCCTTTGCTTATTGTAATGATCATGTATTACTGTCCTTTATACTATTAATGTGATGTGTTGCATTAATCACTTTTCATATGTTAAACCAACTTTGCATTTCTGGGATAAATTCTACTTGATCACGTTGTATAATCCTTTTTACATGTTTCTACATTTAATTTGTTGATATTTTGTTGAGGATTTTTTGCATCATATATTCATAAAACACCTGTCTGTAGTTTTCTTTTCTTGTGATGTCTACCTGGTTTTGGTAATACTAGCCTAATAGAATGAGTTGAGAACCATTTCCACTTCTTCCATTTTTTGGAGGTATTTATGAAGAATTCACTTCTCCCTAAATGTTTGCTCTAACTCCCAATGAAGCCAAAAGGGCCTGGGAAGTTAACGTTTAAGACTCTTTTTTTCTTAACTGTTTGTCTACTCGGCACAAAAGTCTGAAATACTTTATAAGTTTCACCAAATCCATGTATATATCTGATATAATAGGGAGAAGGCTTATTTAGTTCAGGACTTTATAAAAATTTTTAAAAAATACATTGAGAGTGACCAAATCTGTTTATGATTATAAATGGCATGGTGGTGGCTAAGAGCTTGCCATTTTGCTGGTCTAGATATCTATTATTCTGTTTTGCAGCTAGGCAAAACAGTGTTTATGTACTGAGTACTCAGTGTTTATGTACTGAGATTGGGGCTTTCCTTTGGGATGGATGGCTATTATTTTGAATTAAAACACCTCTTAGGTCTATCAAGCACTTGCTTTAAGTTAGCTTTAAGGACAGAACATTTATCAAAAACATTCTAAGGAGATCTAAGTTAACACTGACAAGTTAATATAATTTTGGTTTTTGGAATAAGTAAATATGAGTAAGTAAAGGTCTGATTATTTTAGGTTTAACATTACGTAGGCAAAAGGAGGAAAAAAAGATATAAAAAGGCCAAGTAGTTTGTGCTGCATTTCCCACTATTTTTTCCTTCAGGCTATAAGAAAATACTTCTTTGATGACTGAATCTCTGTGAACTGTAGAAGTCTAGGAGTTGGCTCACCGGCTAAACATAAGAGGTTCCAGTGAAGATGAAAGCAAGGAGATCAGAGGATGGTTCAGAAGTGAGGATTAGCCCCGGGAGGAAGAAAAGACAAAATTGTCAAGGTTGGTGAACTGTTGAGAGTATAAAAAATAAAACAAGTGGTTCCAAATCTGGGAAGATTGCAGATGTTTGCCTCCTGACCTTGAAATTGATTTGAGAAATTTCTAAAATGATAAAAGTCTAATCAGGAGCATTGTAGGAAATTATAATTTAAGGTTATCAGTTGTATGTTGAGAATAAAAATATTTTTTAAAATTTCAAATATGCAGGACATGGAAGAACAGAGAACATACCCCATTGTAGGTTTGTAACCTTGCATTTGTGTGCATGGGTTTGTGTGTACCTCAAAACAAAACTAAGTAGTAAATAGAGTGGTTTTATATTTTTTAAAAACAAAGATATTTCATGTAGGTGAATGCAAATACTAATGTTCTTAAAAATTGCAGGGTTGATTTTGAAATAGAAATGTTGACCTTGACAGTTCTTTCCTGGCATATTATATTATTCCAGTTTTGTCATGCTCCTGCCAACATGCTAACATCAGCAAGGCAGTATTTTCTCTCTGGAGACCTCAGTTTCAGCTCTAGTACTCTCTACCAAATTTCTACCCAAACTCTAGAGATCACGGCTGTGTCTTACAGTTGCCACCTCTGTTTGATACCTTAGTATTTCTTTTTTATCTTTTCAGTCCTTGGATGTCTAACAATCAGTTCTTTGTATCTGATTCCCTTGAGACATCAACTGGTATGGCTCTGTCTTCTGATAGGTATAAACACACTGACCCTTCTCCTGTCTCCTTCATTTACATCATGGAGATAAAGGATGCTTCATGGTAAATTCTCTTACCCTGCGATGCTCTAGGGAGCTAGGGGAGAGGGGAAAGGTTAAGATCTTTCACCTGGACAGGAGGTTAATACTTGGATCACATCTAAGAAAGTGTGCTAAATGAGTAAAGTGAATCATATCCAAGAAAATCATCAAAGCAAAAGGCTAGAGTACTCAAATGGATCTCAGCAAGCCCTGTGCTCCCATATGTCAGAAATTGCAACACCTAGAATATTGAAGATTGATTTTCTGGGATATTAGTGAACCTTCAGGAACATGCTGAGGATTGTTCTTCTCTGGTGACTTGTATTCGGGAAGCAGGGAATACAGTCATGATGCTCGGAATAGTTAATAATGAGAATTGGGGGTCTAGGGAAAGCACAGGTGAATATTATACCACTCATTAGAGAAGTAAGGAGAGATAAATACAGTGGAATCCTCATAGGCTGCTGGCCATCATGGGACTTGGGAACACAGTTGTGGCCCACACCCCATGACGTTCTTTATTTGTAGTTAAGGTTGCGTATCTTCATTGGTGTGGATATAACCAGTATCTTTTGACTATGTCTTTTGGAGTCTTTCCACCAGTCACCACTGCCTTCGAGACACGCTTAATAACTAAAATTAGAGAGCATAAGAAATTTGGTATCTATAAGGATAATCCCAAAGGGCAGTGACTTGGAGCCTAGAAGAGAAGCCAGAGATGTAGGATTAATGCTGCTAATTCAATGCTTATAAATGCTAAAAGCAAGTTTTGGGGTATATCTCCAGAAGAAGAGATGCTATATAGAAATTAAGAAGCATAACCATTGTTTGAGCATTTTAATTGATGTTCATATCTGATGGCACCTAACAAATATTTCACACCAGTGGTTATAGTGACTGCTATCATAGGTAAGATAACTTGAAGTCGTTGTGGTTTATAATCAAGTGGTTTGAGATTCATGGTAACTTATAGATAAAGTAATCCATATGAAATTGATTCATTTTCCATTTTCCTGATTGGAAAATCATATAAGTAAAATATATAATAAGTCAGTATTTTACCCTTAAATATGTAGATAATAAAAAGGAGTCAAATAGCATGTCCATGCAGGTAAACAGAAACTGTAAATTGATGAATTTCCACGATAACTTTTTAATTTAGTTTTCTGAAATTTTTTCTTATAATCCAAGCTCATATCTATCTCTTTATATTTATATACTTTTTTTACTAGATTGTAGTCTCTATGGGGGAAGGTCAACATTTTGTATTCTTCAACATAGTTCTTGATTGTCAATTTTTTGAAATAAATGAGTGAATTTGAGAAAGTATTATCCTATAGAAACTATAAGTGATTTGATTTTTTTGAGGCCAACTTGCAGATATATGTATTTTTTTAATTTTTAAATTTTCTTTTTTTAAAATTTATTTTTATATTCAATTTATTGACATGGCATTGATTAATAAAATTATATAGGTTTCAAGTGCATGATTCTATAGTACATATCTGTATAATACATTGTGTGTTCATCACCCAAAGTCAAATCTCTTTTTGTCACCATATATTTGACCCCTTTGACCCTTTTCTGCCTCCTTCCTTTTCCCTCTGGTAACCACTAAACTGTTGTCTGTGTCTATGAGTTTTTGTTTGTTTGTTTGTCTGGTTCATTTGTTGCTTTCATTGTTCTCAGCTTTTTTTGTCTCACTTATTTTGCTTGGTGTGTTCTCAAGATCCATCCATGTTGTCACAAATGGCAGTATTTCACTATTTCTTATGGCTGAGAAATAGTCCATTGTGTATGTGTACCACATCATCTTTATCCAGTCATCTATTAAAGGACACTTCAGTTGTTCCCATGTCTTGGCCACCATGAATAATGCTACAGTGAATATCGGGGTGCATATATCTTCGCAGATAAATGTTTTCAGATTTTTGGAGATAGAAACCCAGGAGAGGGATTGATGGGTCATGTGGTAATTCTATTCTTAATTTTTTGAGGAGGCTCCATACTGTTTTCCATAGTAGCTGTACCAATTTATATTCCCACTGGCAGTGTATGAGGGTTGCTTTTCCCACACAACCTCTCCAACACTTGTCATTACTTGTCTTGTTGATTATAGCTATTCTAGCAAGTGTGAGATGGTATCTCATTGTGATTTTGATTTGCATTTCCCTAATAGGTAGTGAAGTTGAGCATCTTTTCATATATCTGTTGGCCGTTAGTATGTCATCTTCTTGGGAGGCAAATATGTATTAACATATAATGTTATTGGGTTATATGAATAATAGTGGTAGAGCAATAATAACAATAATAATATGCAAAAGGAAATAGTTTTTTGAGCTCATTTTTCCCTGTAGCCACCAGCCCTCTGGCACTTGCTGAGAAGTGGTTAGAGTTAGCAAGAGCATACTTGTTACATTGAAGTTCTCCAAATTCTGGCTCAATGGCAAGGGTATCAGTCTAGCTACTTTCACAAGGTGGACACTGTTGCTAAAAAAGGGCATAGAAGTATTTGAAGTAAATATATATTAATAATTTGCCTTAGATACTTATTTTGAAATATCTAGTTATGTAGACATTAGTAAGCAAGTGTTCTTTGTTCTTTTCTATCCAGACTTTTGCTGTCTAAATAGATTTGCAGAAAATTTCCTACATTGGATTTTTGGAGGAAATTATCCCTTGTTATTCACTGTCAAAAACTGAGGAACTGAATAAACATAAAAATATATTCAATACCAATACATATTTTATATTATGCATCCTTGATTATTTAGCCTAACAATAAAAAGGAGTTTGGATAAATGTGAAAGAGAGGGTGGTAGATATGGGGAAAGACTGAGAAAGAATATCTTAGAAAATATTCTATATTAGTGTATATAATTATTTGAAATAAAAGCAATGAATATATTTAAAGAAAACTCTAATAAATTAGTGGTGTAATGTTATTTTCTATTTACACTGAGAAAGTATAAGTAACTTAGTGTGTACTTCAGCAAAAAAAGTGTTTAGATATTGAGAATAATTTTTAAGCTTACAAGTATAAAAGGAAAGACTTTTATTGAAAAGTTAGATTTTTTTATAAGAAACAATTTATAAACTTATAAGTGAATAAAGAAAGACTTTAATTTAAAAATTAAATTATATAAGCTACTACATAAGACCCCACAGTTCCCCTGCATGCCTCTTCCATTAACCTCTCCTGTTTACTGCCACACACCCTAGTCCATCAAGCCTGTCTTTGCATCTCACCTGCTAATTCCCATCTAACAATGGGTGCTGCATATGTCATTTCTTACTTGGAAGGGCTTTTCTCTAGTTGGAATAATTCACTCATATCAGAAAATTTTTAAATAAAATCAGTAAAGGAGTTCTAATGAACACTATGGTTTGCATATACTGAAACACTTAAATGTAAATGTACACCTGAACATATTGATGGGCTTTTCTGAGTGTGGGTCCACATGTTGGCAGTCTATTTCTTCATTGAATCACACCTATATTACATGCCTTGTGATTTGCAGGCTTAAAATTCTTCAGATTGAACTAGAACTAAAACAAACGTGTGCAAAAATTTTGACTGCAGTGTCTTCCTAGGTTTTATGAATTTCTTCTTGAGCATTTAAAATTGTTTATCCAACTAATCGGACAGTGTTCTTTTGAGCAACTTTGTACTTACAAAGTATTAAGCTTAATTTTCATAGTAATAACTCTATCTTTTTGTACCTAATTCATCTGTTAATTGAGTTAAGTATGTAACCATAACAAAAATAAATGGCATATCCAAATGTGGGACTAAAGGTAATGCACTCTTGGTAAGCTCATATTTCTACAGATGGGCATAGAATTCTTTGGGTAGATTGGATAACCAGCTAGTGGCAGTCTGTACCCAGGATGTCACCAACAACGATTAGGCTGTTTTACTGAGGGAATGGAGAGCATATAGAGAAGGGAAATCAGTTAAAAACTTCTCCTAGAGTAGCTACTTATTTTGCACAGTTTAGCAATCTAGAAAATAATATACAAACATATTTAACATTTAGACTGTATAGATATTCTAAGAATAATGAGGGAAATAAATGTGTATAAAGTTTTATAAGACTTTAACAGACATCTTTCTTTCCAAAATACAATTTCAATTCTTTTGGAAAAATAAACATGGGACTAAGATTCTAAATTATTATATAAATTATAATATAAATTAACTTTATATTGGATAAATTCATAAATCCATGTGGATGCATATAATTAGTACAATAAATATAATCATTTTAGGGCATCACTTTTGGAGTATCTATTTTAGTTGAGTGAAAAGGGGTACAAGAACTTACTGAGATTATTTATGATTTATTAAAACAATATAGCAAAAAGGAAAAGGTTATCTAATACAAATTTCTAAATGTAGAATCACATTCTAGTAATGTGAATATCATTAGAGATTTTGGTTTAAATTCTTTTGGACTGTCAGAATCCTAAGTCATATACAGATTGACATACACATATAATATGCAAGCTAAATTGAAGAAAATATTCAAGTTCTATTACTATCTGATTCTTGTTCAGAGGTATTTTCAAGTAAATGAGGTATATTTTTTTCTGCTTATAAACCTTCCCCCTTCTTCTTGCTTATTTTTGTATAAAATACCTATATTTTTTATTATCATGTCCCCACTAGTTACTCTTTCTGCTCTTTCTCACAGGGTTGCTCTAGGCAATATTATGAAGTAGGCAAAGTATGTCAACTCTATTAGAATCATTTGAAGTTGTTTAGATTCTTCTGGCATTCACAATAAGTTTATTGAACTAATGCATATTCATTATTTCCATTTGAGAGACTATAAATTATTTAGAAATATTCAATAATGTATTTTCTGTGTACCATTAAGGCCATTTTAAGGTTAGGTGAATACTTAACATTTTTCCTAATTTGGAAGTAGTTTTTATGTAAATTAGTTCAGATTTCCCAGTACTTTTCATCATGATGGTTTGATTTTTGGGACCTTCATTGATGGTTTGTCAACTATTTCAGATTTAAAGAAATGATGGAAGGTAGTGAAAATATACGAAACTCAGTGATAAAACACCACTGAGTCGTTTTTTCCTTGATCTTGACCTCACATCTCAGTTTGTTTCTGTCCTGTCAAGTTCCACAGTAATGTGTTGAGCCTCTTCTACACAAGGAATTCACGTAGACACTGGAAGTACAAAACGAAATAGATCTACTTTCTAAAATTCAGGATGTTTTTAAGGATGAAAAGGATGCTTTAACCAAGAGAGACAGGTGACAAACCCCTACTCAGCATCCAGCATACCCCCAAACAGCCAGGGGAACAAGAAAGACATTTAAGCAGAACATTTCAATTCACAGTGTAAACAGTAGGAAACAGTGCTGTGGGGACAGATAGCAGGGGCAATTGCCACGCATTCTTGTACACTGTGTTGGAGATGGCTTCTGTCACGTGACTGCTGCGTTGAATCTTGAGGGATGAATAGGGTGAAATGAGTGTGTGGTGGGCGTGCTACAGAGGAATTAAGGGACAGGTGAAGATCCCTTCATACAAAGGAAGACGAGCTTGTGTTAAGGAACACTACAGTGCATGCAGTCATACCCTAAAAGTTTATGAATGGTTTTGGCAGGAGAAGAATGATGAAAATATTACCTATTTGTTGATCTCTAGGATTATAGAGTCATCCACCCCAGTGGGATCATTTATGGAAAATCATTTTAAAAAACACTAAATTGCAATATTACCATAAATACTTAGCTTTCAGGTTGATATTTTAGATTCAGAAAATGTTAAAAGTCAAGTTTATGAGTAAATATTGAAATAGTAAAGAAAGCATTCAAAGAGAAACAATATTTGAAGATTCGTATAATTATATGGTGTGTGTTTTGGCTATTACATCTTAAAATGAAAGGAGCTGTAGTGATTATCTTGTTTTCATTTCTGCTTTTTTTTTTTTTTCAGAAATAGATGTAGCACTTTCTTTTGTACTCATTTATTTTCTTCATATTTTTGATCAAAGATGGTACTCAATATGTAATATAAGAGCTACTTTTTGGAGAAAATCTATAAATCGTCCTGGAGATGGAAAAAAGACCCATACATCAAGTTGACAAGGTTGATGGCATTATTCACTGTGATTCCTTTATTCAGATGCAAAGAGTTCTAGAAAAGAGTTTAGTCAGAAAAGCTTTCCTGATACATGATTGGATGGCTAAAACTTTAAAATTTTGGGTTTCAGTATGAACACTACAGGTAAACATAATAAACTCGAAATATTATAATCCAGTTATATATCACTATTTTTGAATAGTTAGAAAAGTGGTAGATTTTATTTTTGGGACTTTTTCAGGGATGAATTTATACTAATTTCAAGTAAAACCATTTATATGAACAAATACAGAAGAGGATTTAATGAAATGAAAATGCATCTGTTGACAAAGTATTGGAATGATGAATGATAATAATTTACTCATTTCTATATTTTGTATTGCTCTGTAACTTTTCTAAATTACAAAGCTGTTTCTGGCACAATGTAGAACATTTGGAAAACAAAGACAAGAAAAATGAAGGAATTAAAACCACTGTCAGGATCACCAGGCAGAAATAGTAACTGCTAGTTTTTTGGGAGCTATCGTCACTCTTTTTACAAAAAAGAAATTTTATATATAAGATGTACATACATTACTTTATGTAAAAATGGAATCATGCCTTTTGGTAACTTGTTTTTTCACATTACTTATTGTACTACTGTTTGATGTAATTTAATAATACTTTAAAACCCTATTGAGAAGTCATTATCAAAAGATCAGTAATTAAGGATCCAAAGGAAGGAGTGACTCTCTGAGATTTATTTTCTATGAAAATTATTTTTGAATCAGTTTTAATACATTAATTGGATAAAATTATTTGTATTGTCTATGATTTCTGATTGAATAGTATTTGAAGTCAGATACATGCTTATTAGAACAACTTTAGACAAAATTTGTGACTTATAGCAATTATCATTAATCATGACTTACTGTTTTTAAGGGGAATAATAAATTTAATTCTGGTTTTAGAGATTGTCCAATAGAGGTATAATTTTTCCATATATTTAAGGTGAAATCTGAGATTCGATGAATTTTCCCTCCTTAGTGCTATGACAGATTTGTTATTTAGTTATAACCAAAACATTAATTTTCTGTTGGAGCTCATGTTTGAACTGAGAGTAACAGGGAACATTGGGAAGATATTTTAAAGGTGGTCATTAATCAGATATATTTTAAGTTAGATTTATATTTTGATAAAAATCTAAATAATTATTTTCTCAAAATTCTTTTAAATCAAAGGATGGAGCAATAGTTCAATTTCTATTTATAATAATGCTTAATCTTCAGCTATTAAATTACATGACACTCAGTTTGTAAACTGAAATAGATGAATTTGATAAGTTAACATGGAAGTGTTTTTACAATTGATCCTGGCACAGAATACTCACTCAATTAACACTATTTCAAATAAAATTACATTTAAGAAAGGTAATAACTTATATACTTATATATGTGATAATACATGAAATATACCCCCATATCCCAGATATAGTAAGAAAAGATTATTAGAATATACTAATTTATAGTAAATGAATAAAGAACAATACATAGATTTAAATTAAATTAAAATTAACAAAAAGAAGTTTATAGATGACCATTTTATGCTGAAAATATTGAAATAAAGAAATAACCTTTTTTAAAAATTAAAATCTGTGCTCGCTTTGGCAGCACATATACTAAAATTAGAACTATAGAGAAGAAGAGCCTGGCCCCTGTGCAAGGATGACATGAAAATTTGTGGACCAAAAAAAAAAAAAAATCTCCTTTATCTAATTTTTTCTTTTCAGAAAATATTCTCATCCTTATAACAGTTTAAATTAAAAATTATTATAAGAAATAAGCTGAGTACTATTAAAGCTCCATTTGGCAAGCTGAAGGATTAAGTAATCTATCCAAAGAAACTTAGCAAGTAGAAATTTGGATTCTCAACTCCCTCCCTAGAAATAAATATAAAATTATAAATGTTCTTTTCCAGTAGACACTTGCTCTTTGCAGAGTAATAGCCATTATATAGCTAATGAACTAAGGGCCTACTAAGGCTCTTAGTTATCATGGCAATGTGATAGTTATATTTGAAGGGTTACGTGTGTTTCAAAATTTTATACATTTTGAATTAAACAGTAAGTGTTAGCAATATATTTAGATAATTTATTCTATAGTTTAGGAATAGGATTTGAATTAAGATTTTGAAGATGTCCATTGTGAGGGAGCATAAAGCTGAGGTTAGTATTTGCTAATTCTCTGTACTACTGAGAATAATGGTTCATATGTAATTTTTGTCCATCATGCAATTCCATATAACTATAACCAATTTTTCACATTAAAATTCTGTTGGAAGTGAAAATGATCTCCTATAACACCAAACTCTACTTCTAAAACACCAGGTTATTGTAACTAACTATACAATCAAATGATGTTCTAAAAGCAGCCTACAGCT